AACAGCTTTTTCAAAACAATAAAGAAAAAAGAACAGAAATAAAAATATCATTAATTTTTTGTTTAAAAATTTGAGTATGTGAAAGCATTAAAACTTTTCTATTAGCATAACCATAAAATATTACTAACAACGCAGACTTTGGGATATGAAATTAAGAATACATTAATTAATAAATTCTTATGTTTTCATTATTTCTTCTTTAAGTATTTTATTTCTTTTAAAGATTTTCGTCATCAAATTTTTTGTAAAGCCTGCAAATTATTCTTTGTATTAATTTAAGATACCAAATGGAACATTAGCAATTAACAACACAATTCTGTTTTGTATGATTCTTATTTTTCATTCACACATGTGTTTATGTGACACAAACCAGGCGATTATTTAAAGATCTCTGTTATGTAATTAGATTTGATGAAATAAGAAAGTTTCAGATTGCGCAATTATATTCACCTGACTCATTTTCTTAATGTACTTTGTAAATTTTCATTTCAAATATAAAATTAAATTATATCTAGACGCACATATCTTAGATACAAATAATTTTCCAAGAATTTTGAAGATATCAAAAGCACTTGATTTTGCTTAAACGGCAGTTCATAATGCTAATTTTAAAAGGTTAATAAATGATACAATTTCTTATTTGAGTTCATGTTTTAGAATTTCAGTGAAATAATTCTGAGAAACAATGTCACAAAACGTTAGCGACTGCTAAAAAAAGGCAAAGGAATGACTTATTACAATGTCGTTATATTAATAATATTGCTACTTATGACTTCATCTACATTAGGGGTTTGTTAATTTAATTCAATAGAAATAATAATAAATCTAATTGAGTAATTATTACAGACTCTTCATTCACCAATCTTAGAACATTCAAAAGGTTAAATAAATTCCTTATAAAAGAGAATTAATTTAATTTATTTTCAATTGAAGATCTTCATGTTGAGGCATTTGTTAAAGATTGGAGGATTCTACAATTGAATGTTACTCTCTTAAAGCCAATTGATTCTGCCTATGACGTTAACGTCGCATCAATAATGAAGAGCAAAAACACTTCTGACCATTGTTTAGAAGTAAAACATTGCAGAATTCATGATGTTGAAATGGTATGATATTTCATTGTATCAAAACTATATAATTTATTTAACAAATCCATAATCTATATTTAGAATCAAACATCGGTTACTTTCCCAGAGAATAATCAATATTTAACCGACCACGAAACCTGCAAATTTCAAAATGATTGCGCTTACAATATTACAGTGCGAGCTTTAAATGGCAAACAAACGTTCTACACAGTCTATCGCGTGAAAGGTACAATAAAGATCAATTTAGATAATGATTATCTGTACTGTTTTTGTCATTATAGAATGCGTCAATGGGTTGTGTTTGTGTCGTAATTCTGACACACTTCCGAAGCCTATTATCTCCCCCAAAATGTTGAGTCCTAAGCAATTGTACTTTAAATGGGAAATACCAACCACGGAGACCAACAGCAATTTAATGCTTCAATTTTTGACCATTGAGTAAATAAATTTTTACGTCCTTCATTTGATATCAATTAATTAACGTTTTTATAGTATTTACGAGCTTAGAGATTGTAATTTACCCTGGAGTGAAATTAAATCGATAGCAAGCTTCCATGAAAAATTAAACAACTTTGGCGATAGACCAATTAGAAAGAATGATTTTACAAAAGAACTTTCGGAAAGCTCTAATGCGACCTGTCTACGAGTCAGAATGACTGTTGTCGATTCACAAAACTGCCATGGGCCACAAGTTAGTGTAACTGTAAGGATTAACGAGAATAAAAACAATGAATTTGTAAGTATCTCATTTAGAATGAAGCTTAACTAATTGCGTGATATTTGCCAATTTCTGGTTCCACACAGATTACATTTCATTTATTGTTGATCATAATAGCCATAATTGTAACATTAGCAACAGTCATGCTCATTATTTATGGGGTTTTATGGAAGAGCCGCAAAAAAAATATCGTAAATTACTGGCGAGGATTGTATCATAGCGTTCAAACCGGGTAAGATCTCAAAAAACTGATTAATTAAAATTTTTACCAAGTTATGATGAAATGTAAGAAAATTCTAATTGAATTCCACTTTCCTTTATATTTCGTAATTAATTATTTGCTTAACCATCCTTTACAATGTTTAATCACGAATCCATCAGCGCTCCACAAATGATACCCATGCAAGAGAACATTTTATATTTTGAAAAGGTAAGGAACAATATTTACCCTTGATGTTGGATTCTTTACTTGATTTCACACGCAATCATAACATTTTTCTCTTCAAAAGGATGCTGACTGGTATGAAATTCCACATTCTTCTATAAGGGAGATTGGAAGGGAAATTGGCAAAGGAGCTTTCGGTCGCGTGTTTATTGCTCGTATTGCTGATGTTCCTGGAAAATTCAATAGTCAAATTGTTGCAATAAAGAAGCTGAAAAGTAAGTAATTTTATTCAGAAAATGTTTGGAGACATTCTTTCCATTCCCATTTTTTAAAAATTTAATAATGCAAATTTCGATTAAACTCTCGTGACTTGTTTATGTAAAACTCACAAAAAAAGACACGTTCGGATTGTAATCATTAAAATTTTATAGGCCGACAATTTCCGCTTTTGCAAGGTTTTAGATATCGCGGCTTTTATTTAATTTCTGAAAACAGAAATACGAAACATTTGGTTCACTCACTCGAAGACACTGCTTCAATATAATCCCTAAAGTTATTTTTACTTACCGTAAAATCATAGCAATTTTCACAATAATTTTATAAATTTATGTTTTTCAAGACATTTGAAAGCTCTTTATAATTAGAACTAATATAAAGTGGAGGAAATTACGTTCAGGGTACACGAAAGAAAATATTCTTTCCCAACTTAATCTTTCCTAAGGGATGAATCAACATTGAAGCCTTTCAGAGCTAAAGTACTACGTAATAACAGCTTGAGGCTAGGATCCAGATCCACTAACTGGTATTAATGTGTTGCCTGTGGTGCATAATCACTGAGGTAGTTGCTAAAATTACCCAAGAAAATATCTAACCCGTTCAAATGTTTTGAAATAATTTTCTTTAATAAAAGTTTTGATTTATTTCAAGCAGATCAATCTTGAACGTGATGAAAATATTCCTTTAACAATACAGTTTTTGAATCATTTGAATCATCAGAAACTTCTTGAGAAACTTAATTGAGTTATTTTTCATGTTGATCTTTAGAGAAAATCTATCAAATTTCAAAACCTTTTCAGGTAATCCTTTTATTATTTTACTTTTCTTGGAAAAGTGATAGATAAGTTATTTAATATGTGTCTAAAATACTGTCAACGAAACATGCTGGTTGTTAAATCTGATAAGCACATGACTGGATTATGAGTATTCGCATAATTTATCTACTGAATTAAATAAAATCCTTTTTCCCAATATACGCTTGAGATACTCTTTCATACTGCATCAACTATTCTGAATTGCAAATCCTTATTAAAGAACCTTCATGAACCGGAAATTTTTCGAAAACTTTTTCATAACCGAAGCAAACTTATGTATTCCAATAAGTATTTTATGTTAAATACAAGTTAAACCTAATAAGTGCTTTCATCGAGCTCGTTTTAGGCAGAATAAGATGAGTCTGTAATAAGTAATAAGTTTTATTCTTTAACCTTCTTAATAGAATGCCCAACAACAGATCAACTTGAGGAGTTCTTAGGAGAAATTTCGACAATGAAACGGGTGGGCAGACATCCTAATGTAGTTCGGCTTTTAGGATTTTGTACATTAGAACAGCCGTTGATGATGATAATGGAATTTGTTCCTTGTGGCGATTTAGTAATAAAAAGTGTAATAAGAAAAAAGAATTTGTTTCTTAAAAGCCTTTTTCTTTCTTTTCATCTTAATAACTTAGCTTAAATACTTAAGGAAAGTCCGAGCCAAACATGAAGCTTCTCTACCTAAAATTCCAAAAAATAACAATTCGAGCTTAAATAATTCAGTTAAACGTTCCGGCAGCAATCAATCTCAAATACTTGGACCTTTGGGAAAATATTTGGATATATTGCATTCACATTCAACGTAAGAATCACTCATTCAGATAATTAGAATATTAATAGATACAAATTGCTTAAACTCTTTAATTTGACTTCGAAACATAACAAATTTATTTTAATTTTATGCCACCTTTAATTACCATTTTAAACGATTTAGAAGCTCAGCGTCCGAAACTTCATCTTACATCACACAACCGGACAGTCTACCTTCAACACAAAATAATCTAAATGGACCTTCAACATCACGACCGTCATTCGCTGAAAGTAATTTTAATACTGCTTAAGATGCCTTTAAAACTTTTTCTATTTAAGAAACTTTATTTGTCTCATTATCTAGCAATGTACACAAACTTAACAGTCCCATCAAATCCCGAGCTTAATTCCATGTTAAACACTTGTCTTGAATATGTTGTAGATCATAAAGAACTTCATAATTTCGCAATTCAAATTGCGCGTGGAATGAGACACTTGCAAGATTTGCAAATTACGCACAGGTAAGTAAAATGCGAGGATTCCTTTTGAATTATTCTTTCTCCCACAATTTAATTAAATTTTACTTGGAAACAACGTCAAGGCTAAGAAATTTTCAAATTTTTGTTCTCATCACTCCACCAAGTCAATTTAATTTATTTAATGTTGACATCTGCTGATTTTTCTTTTACGTCTTCATTCGAAGATTGGAAAATTTTGCAAGAAAATAATTGATATGTTGATTTATTAGAATTACAAATTAGAAATGATATTTATTTAGTCAAGCGTGCTTTTCGGAGAAGAATAAATTTTTCCAACTGAAAACATTGCGAAAAAAAATTTCCACATCTATGATATTGCGACCAGAAAATTGCGAATCGATTTTTAAAATTTTAACCGTTGAAAATATGAATGCGTAATAAAATNAATTTTGCAAGAAAATAATTGATATGTTGATTTATTAGAATTACAAATTAGAAATGATATTTATTTAGTCAAGCGTGCTTTTCGTGATGAAAAGTTTTCGACTTCGCTTCGTTGAACAAAGGAAATATTACCGGTCGCTTTTGGGTTTCTTTCAAAACCTTCGCGTGTATCCTGTTTATTTAATTTATGGCCTAAAAGAATATTTAAACTGTCATTATCATGTCATTTATTTTTTATTCTTCTTCCATTAGGGATCTTGCTGCTCGTAACATTCTTATTGACGAAAACAAGACGCTGAAAATTTCTGATTTTGGTCTTTCACGAAGTGGAATTTATGTCAACACTAAAAATAAAAAGGTAAGCGTTAAATGCTAAGATGTCTTGAATATATTTAATCATTTATCATTACTTCAATGTTGGAATATCTTTTTAAAGGTTCCGTTGCGATGGCTCTCTATTGAAGCAATGAAAGATAACTTATATTCAAGTAAAAGCGACGTTTGGGCTTTTGCGATTTTATTATGGGAAATTGGAACGTTAGGTAAGTTTCTTTAAAAATGTCTAACAATATATTGAAGTTATTGGAGTGGAAACTAAGGAGATGAATTTGCTTCCTTTCACTTTACGGATTATTTGATAAGAGTTAGTCAATCTGATCAATATTTTTCTTGAAAGTTTTTTAAATTTACATCAAAACTTCAAAATTCTTGGTAAGCTTTAAGCAAATTTACGAGAGAATAATGAAGTTTTATACAACGACCAAATCGTCTGTTTCGAATGAGTGAACAAGCTTTTCTCCATACTTAAACATAAAAGAGATTTCCGCATTAAATATGTGTCGTCAGTTTTTTGACTTTCCATCAAAATACAACTAAAAGGAAGTCATTGGAGGGTGAAATATTTTCCACAAAACATAACAAGCATTAAAAGAAGAAACTGACATTTGTATATTGTTTTCTATTTTTGTTTACATTTAAAGGGGGTTTCCCATACCCAACTGTATCCAACCACGAATTATTAGGTTACTTGAAATCAGGAGAAAGACTTGCGAAGCCAGAAAATTGTTCAGATACATTGTATGAGCTGATGCTTCATTGTTGGCAGCATGATCCGGATGATAGACCTGATTTCGGTGACATATGTCGGAAGTTGGATCCTAACAAAAATAAAATATACATAGATTTCAGTGAACTTGATCCTAACTATGTATTTCCACCTACATCAGAAAGCTTCATTTCTAATACCGTAAATGTCTCATCTCTAAAACAACAATGAAATCTGAATGTGTTGTCAATGGTTAGACATTATTGAATTTAAATGTTTTTATTTTGATGTTAATAAATTCTTTGCTAAGTATAGGAAAATTTAATGTAAACTTGGTTTAAGTTAAATTAAGAAAGTGAAAACATAAATTAATGACATTATGTTCAACTGTTTGTAACTTTTGACTTTCATTCTGAATCTTAAAAGAATTTTAGTGAATGTTTTGGATGTGTAAGCAATGATGTTTGATAAGGCAAATGAATTTATTTCAACTGCTTTGATTGATTACTTAAATGTTCTTGATAAAAATGATGAAGATAGATAGGATTTTGAACTTTAGCTTAAAAGTTCATAAGGAAGTTAAGAAGGAATTATTTTGGGGATCTAAAGAATGAGAAAACAAAAAATTCATTGCTTGTTCAACACCTGGTTACGACAGCTTAACTTCTCTCTGATAGAACGGTAAAGGAAATCTAGCCACATGTGGCTTACTGTTTCTTCTTAAAATTATCAAAAAGGAATTCATTTTATTGTTTTTTATGCTTTTTTAACATACCTTCAAGTTATTTTAGACTAAAATATTCGAAAAGGTCAGAAATGTTAGGTATATGCTACAGACAGGTAAACAGAATACTTTACTGTCCTTTAAGTAAACTGTAATTTAAGCTGAAAGAATAAAGAATTCGTCATAGCGAAGTTATTAAATAACTCCAACATAACAAACGAATTCTTTCCTTCCTTATTAAAAATTATTCACAAATGGTGAAACTTGAAAGTGATATCGATGTAATTAAATTGCATACTAAGTATGTAAACTTATCATCATAAAATTTCATGTGCTTAATTAAATCAGGTAGTAATTTATAAAATCTGTTAGATGTACTCAATTTAAGAAAAAAATGTCAAACATATGTCGTTCAATATGGCGTTGAAAACGCTTGAAATTTAAGAATATTTTCCAATTTACTTTTGTATTGCTCTAAATGGAGAATAAAATGTGAATATTTTGTTATCACTAATCAGTTGTTTATTGATATATTTCAGATTAAAGTTGAAAAGTATTCTCTGAAAGTATTTATTTTAAATTTCGGTTTGAAGTTTTTAGATCAATGAATAATTCCCCACCCCAAACTCTTTACCTTACAAAAAAACTTCTATTCATATATATATTCATATATGTTCTTTCAACACTTT